GGGAAAGAGAGAAGTGAAAATAATGAAGAAAAAAAAAGCGACACCCCCCAAACTGTGGAAAAAAAAAAATAGATCTTTCAAGCCCTGTGTTATGAAAACAGCTGGGATATGCATGTTCCATGTTCATCAAAATAAGCAATATTTTTGGCTGCCATATGAATATAGCTATAGGGAGTATTTTGTGTGAGTTTGCATCTTTTATGATGGGAGAAGCCTTAGCAAAATCCAGGTGGATTAATAAATTCATATACTCAGGGTTAGACTAGGTGAGACAGAATCAAGGTTATACATCTTGGTCTTGAGTAAGTGTCTATGGACCAAGAGCTTAGAGAGCCACGATAAGCTTTTGTCTGCATTCCTAGAAGTTTACTACATTGGTATTCATCTGTTCAACTATTCCCTTTCAATATTTGTGCTGGGGGAGGACAAACCACCAGCAAGTTCAAACAATGCATGACTGTCTGGGAACCTCCTGCCTACCCAACTGCCACTGGAGTTTGGAGCGAGTTCAGAGAAAGATGCTGGGACCCACGCTGCCAGCAGAAGCTTTGCCTACAGACAGACGTCAGCACTGCTAGGAAAGGAAGGAAATAACCCATCCCAAACCACCCGTGGCTTAAACATTATGAACCTGAAATTATCAGCCACAACTAGAAATGCATCTTCTTGTCCTTGCAATCACTACAACATCCACACTGGTAATGCTGCCATCTCTGTTCTGGTCACTGTCCTTTTCCCAGCAAGCCACTTCTCATGTTCAACCACCAGCAAACTAAATATTGCTAGTTTCAAGGCCAGAGATGAATATGAATCACCTTTTATTCCCTAACACTGCAAATTGAGATCTATGCCCTCTAGTTTGAACTTACTCACTGGTGTGATGGCAAAGAAAAACGAGTGAGCTCACTAGTCTGGTGTACATGAGATGCGGATGCACTTGTTTTGCCCAAATTAAAGGTAGGTTAACTACTCCTTCTAGTACTTTTTACCCATAACTACAGCTCCATTTTTTTTTTTTTAAAAAAAGCTTATTACCATCAGCCCAGAAATCCTAAGTATAAGAACTCTGTGATCTTCACACAAGGTTTCCAGCTGAATGGCCTTGTCTGAAGATGGAGAAAGAGAGAAATACAAACTTTAACTGGTGCATCTAAAACATTATATTTCAGCTAGATTGTACACCGTATTTTCTCCCCCCAATGCTGGTTTTCATCCCCATATTTAACTGCCAGGTCTCAAAGCCAGCAAGTGAATACCAGCCTCTCTGAGGTCATGATCCATTCAAACCTCCAAGCCACATATCTGACCCATATGTGTTGTGCCTTTGAACTCTGAGGCCCTCTCCAAAACTCAGGATTACAGCAGCAGAATACAGAATTCAAGGAAGAACCAATAACTCCATTTATTACTTGTCTTTTAATGTATGAATTCATGTCATTTAAATTTTTGTCTTACAAATGGGAAGAGAATACTCGGAGGAAAGCAGAAGGTATGTAAAACACAATTAAAAATGTTGGATTTTTTTTTTTTTACTCCGCTGGTGCTTCTGGGAGTGCACGATTCACAAACCCTAGTTAACAAGTGGAATAGAGTCCCAAGAGAGAAGGCAGGCTTGGCCTCCTACAGGTGATTTGCTCTGAGTGAGTACTTGGTCCTCTAAGCCAAGCAGATTCAAGTTATCTATCCCATGAAACAAGCATGCATCACCAGAATACAAAATGGCAAACCGGAGAGCATTAGAGGGCATCGTTTTGCAAAACTTGACAGCCAATGAGGTCATGACTGGGATGTTACATCCGTGAACTTGACACAGCAATGACCAAAAGGCCAACCTCTCCCTAGTAATTAAGAATTTGACTTTCCTTAGCCACAAATGTCTGAATCACTCTGGTGACTCGAAGTGGAGCCTATCCCATCTCAGAGACAGCTCTGACTGAGTCAGGCTGGGATTAGCATGCATCCTTTACTCCTACCAGCGCTCTTCTGCCGAGGCACAGCTGCCACGGTTCCCTGTACAGACACCCCATGTGCACACACACTCCTAGCAGTTTTTCTGTTCCTTGTGGAATTGGGTTTTTTTCTTTCTTTCCTCCTGGTATCTGACTGTGCTTCCTGTCAGCTGGGTGACCCATTATAAATCCCTACTAAGTAGACTTATGAGAATAATGGATTTTGTGGCTGAGCAGACAAACTAAAAAGCCACAGATTTAAAAAAAAAAAATCCCTTTTAGGTCAATCCAAAGTGATAACATTTTGGGGAGCTGGCACAAGATTTAAAAAAACCCAATTGTTCAAGGTTGACCAAAGCATCACACCCAAATAAAAAGGAAAGAAACTATCATTTAAATTAGGGGCTGTTTAACCCTTTTCTGAAAGATGATTTATTTGCAAGTTAGATGTGTTGATTTAATGTTCAAACATTTCCTTTAGAAAGTATTTGTAAAAGAAACATTTAGACAGTTACAGAAGTATTTTCCCTTTTGTTTTTGAATAAAACTATTTACCAAATGTATCTAATGAAAATCTGCAAGTCATCATCCCAAAACTGCACTTTTCAGCAAACATTCTTTCCTTAAAAAGTTTCCATCTAAATCTTCATGTTTCCTTTAGAGCATTTTTCTTTCATAAATCAGCACTGATAGCCAGAAAGACACCAGCCAAATAGCTTCAACAAGAATGAGACTCATCAGTTACTGTGAATGGTTGAATAATACCCTGTATTTTCAAGGTCCTATTCATCCTGACTGTCTCTAGTTTTGAAAACCCACCCTATATCATCAGCATCCCTATGTCCTGAGGATATAGGTCAATTTTTCAGATCTGCTCAGAATTTTGACTGAACATTACCTTGAAACACAGAAATATTTTGCTTAAAATTTGGCATTGAAACAGCAAGATACCCAACACTATTGCATATCTGTCAGGCAGCAGAGTGAGTCAATTCCCACCTCGTGTTCCCCAGCTCAGTTGTAGTCTCTAACAGCTACCTGACTTCTTACAGCAGGTTGCTGCTTGGCCGGTCCCATCTGACTTTGCCCCCGTGCACAGGTGTGCCTGCCTCTTCCCACACCGGGCAACAGGGAGTCTTTGGAGAACATCTTCTTGTGTGGACCCCACGGGTCTCACTCAGTGCCTCCTGTGCCATAGCAGTGCTGCTTGGGAAATGCTTGATTCAGGATAGAGGCGATGCAACACCTGAAACTAAGGTTGCTTGCCACTTCCCATTTCATTTGGGCGTGATTTTGCAAAACTTCTTCTCTGCAACATCGGACATTTTTGGTGATGTCGGTCCCGCCGCAC